TGAGTGAGTTTGGTTTTACGCCGCTTTAAGCAATATTCCAGCAATATCACGGCGGGGGACACCAGAAATGGGCTTCACACATTGTACCCATGTCGGGAATCGAACCCGGGTCTTCGGCGTGACGAGCAAACGCTTTAACCACTAGGCTACCCGACCGCCCCTTGATTACAAGAGCAAATCTGTATATGTTATAACAAAGCAACTAATTACATGTAACCCATACTGTCACCAGAATATATTGATATTGCAAGCATATTTTACAAAAATCATTAACTGATCATATATACAGTACAACATTGTCTATCTCAATTGCGTGGGTCGATGCTCATGATGTCAGTCACTGGACTGTCTGGTCCAGACTCGATTATTTACAGATCGCTGTCATATAGCTGGAATATTGCTGAGTGTGGTGTTAAGCAACAAATAAACAAACGATTGACAAAGTGTAAACATCTGTCTCTGAGATGGCAACTTACAACTCAGAATATACACAACTGCACGTGAAGAGAATAACTTAATAGCAATTTATCTAGGTACAAGTTCCTATGGTCTCTACACAGAAAAGAAATATGATAGAATAATAATCTAAACATGTCAGAATAAAATTTAACTGTTTTCCCTTTCAACAGACATGCTGTTAGGCAGGTAATTGGTATGGTCTGCCAATTAAAAGGTCAGGAAATATAAGATAATTTTGTATAAGAACTTGACAAAAGACCTTGATTTATTGTTCTGTCATACTGGAATTTCCTAATATTCTTTATAAAACACGTGTAGATTTACTCTTTCAGGAAAAGTCCTTAAACACATTTCTCTAAAGAAAAATAACATGGTCAATAGAAATTAAGAAATGTACTTTTCATTTTCTTATCCAGTGACAGTTATGAATTTCTTCAAGTGGCATTTAGAAGTTGGTATAATGAACAAGGGGGTAGTTCTTTGCATATACAACTTCTTTATTACAATGACTGCGACATTTCAGTGTAGTGATAATGGTGTCAGAATCTCCACCGTAACGTCACATTCATTGTAATATAGAAGTTGTACATCCTTAGAACTATAATCCCTTGTTCGATAGTTACAAAGCATAAAATAAAGTCCAGTAACGATATTGCTTTGTTTGCCCCAACTAAAAGTATGAGAATTACATGTACAAAAATGGATTTGCTTTTTTCCCTCTTAAACGAAGGCCACACAGTTTCATAAAAGGAATAATTAGCACACCGTTTTGATGACAACCCAGTGGAAATAAATGTCAATCGCGCACAAATTTTATGTTTGCATGCTAACTTTAAGCAATAAACATTAGCTCACAGTTGTCATTCTGGAGCCTCCTGGCCAGGCATGCTCATGATTCGATGATCATACGTACAAAGGTGATTGACATGTATGTTATGCACAAGAACTACCCCCTTGTTTACTAAAACGAAAAGAATAAATTGATGAATTAAATATGTTCAATCCCCCTGTCAATTATTCAACACTCCATCATTAAATCTATGATGCAAATTTATTTGATACATGATTCTTCATAATCACAATAGTCATTCATAGTTTCTGCAGCAGCAGATGAAGGGTCTATATTTGTTTTAATGTTCCAACTAAGGAAACTTCAAATTCAACTATCATTCACAACATTTGACTACTGAAAACATAAAGTTCACATTGCATAAGTTCATTATTCCTGTGAACATAGCTAACATATATTACATGTACTCATGAGTCTCTATTATATCTTTAAGTTTTCTGCAGCAGCAGATTCAAGTCCATAACTATACTCTTCTTTCGGGATCAGTCCAACAATTTTACAAAATACAACACTATATATACAGGTTCAATTTTATTTGGATCTATTCACAAAGAGACCGCGCCCGTGGTCTTGTGGTAGAGCGTCCGCCAGGAAAGCGGAAGGTCCGGGGTTCGATCGCCGACCGCATCATACCAAAAGACGTTTAAAGATGGTACTTGTTGTTACCCTGTCTGGCGCTCGGCATTAAGGGGCTAAACAAGGACTGGTCGGCTCGGAGTCGGAATACTGTGTCTGAGTGGGGTACTCGTGTTTAACTGCGGCATGGTATCTCAGTTAGCTACCACTTTAAATCGGCATCAGTCCGGACTAGTACAAACAGCCACACACACACACGTGCATGCACGTCGCTATATAAGGGTAATAATTTTGGACGCGACGTTAAACCGCACCTCACCTATTCACAAAGGTGTGTAGGCCAGCGGCCCATATCACATAGTGTCACAACAGAGAGTGTCATTTTGTTCTGTCACAGCTCTTCTTAGTTTTGTAGACTAATATACATACATTGCAAGATTCATTAACATATCTTCATTTTTACTGGACATGAGCGTATTAAACTTATTTATAAAAGGATTGACACATAATTGTGCTGGTATATAACAGATCCTGATAGATCGATATATACCACAAACAAAGACAATATGGTACTGATCTTCTACATACAATCTGTTACACAGTAAACATAGTATACTTTCTCACATCTTGGTTGTTTGCAGTTTCGTCCGGTTCAATTCTTAACACTAGGGAACTACATCTTAGTTTTGCAAGCAGTTTCTAAACCAAGAGATACTGATTACATTTAGATACATTTCTAGACCAAATGACATTGTATACAAAGATCAACTATACGTTTTTATATACAGATTCATCATACATCTCATGTCCTATACACCCATGTTTCTTTACAATCACTTCATTCTACCTGCGGCCGCAGATAATGGCTCCATGACTAAACTTAGCTGTTTTTTGTTCTATCATGGGATGCCCATCACTGAATGTATGACTAAATGCTACAATTAATAATTCTGTTCACTATACACGATATTTAAATACATGACCACAGCCAATACATGCATGGTTCTTCATAATCACCTTAACTTTCTACAGCAGCAGATTAAGGCTCTATGCCCAAAGCTGTTTTCAGTTCTATCATGGGATATTGAGTGCCCTGTGTTGAATGAAGTTAACTATACACGATGATTAAATACACGACCACAGCCAATACATCTATGGTTCTTCATAATCACTTCAAATTGTCTGCAGCAGCAGAATTAAGGCCATAACTGTATTCATCATCTGTGATCAGAGGCTCATTAAACAGTCCATCACTGACTGTATGGTCCATCTTTACACTGTCAATAAAGTCTAGTATGTACAACATCAATATCCATTTGAACATGGCTAAAAATTAATGGCTCTTAATAACAAGATTTTAATTTGACTTACAAAACTGGGGGTCCCTTGAACCACCAGTAATTAAGTTGAAGGGTCCTTACAGGAAATATGAGGGTCCTTTAAAGTAACGAAATTATGTAGTCAGTGTACTTTACTGTAAGATTTGATAATTAACTAAACTACAGATATTTTGTATAATCTTCAAAAAATAAACGCAAAACGGATATTCTTGGCCATAAAAGCAAATTTAGCGGACCAAGAGGTGCAAAATGAAGAGGTTTCATGTAATATAGTGACAGTGACAAATATCCCGGATCAAAATGGTCACAACAAGGACATGCAAACCATTAGTCGGGAAACACTACAATTCTAAAAACGCACCCAGTGCATTAACAAAAGGACCACTGCACTTTTCATGTTTTTGTCACAATCACTTCGTACTACTGAAGGTCTATGTAAACATTTTTTTCAAGCAGAAAAAAACATAACATGCATATTGATCCCTATCTATTACTGCCCCTACCCATTTTGATATCACATCTGATTTCTCACATGGTAATCTGAATGAAACAGCTGGTTTGATGGCCGCATCACCGCAGGAGCAAATATTCATACACTAGTACTTTTTTCAGTCATTGTCGGTAGTCATATTTAAATAATTATATCTACAATTACAGGTTACAAAACGCAAAGTTGCAGTCGCTACAACATTCAAAGGATGTGTATCAATACATTTTGTGCAGAAACACGATAGAAATCTACAAAGAGCATTTATTTTATGTTTTTGAGACAACAGAGAGATTGGAATTGGACACTGACGTCAAATCTTTTGCGTCACAATGAGCGAATGCCCGTTCGGTTCAAAATACAATTTAGCGCGGTTAAATCTACAGGTAACCTAGCTCCAAATTGAATACACAGTATGTTTATCTCCTCAATATGCACAAAATTCAACAGTGAAAAGGACATAAAAAAGCATGACTATGACAGCTACTCCCTTGTCAGTTCAGTTGCCAAAGTTGCCTAAAACAATTTTAGCTTATACGACCTGGCCCGTTTATCTGGACATGACGGACACATTTAAATGAAGTCACCAATTGTTTTGTATTTGTTCTGAGAGCAATCTTATCTTTTTTAGTTTTCAATAGTGACAAAAGTGACAAAGGGGTTTATTATCTTACAGCATAGTAAATACAGACCTTTTAATTGTGGATTTGTACCTCTTCCCAACCACAAACAGTCACAAACTGCACACAAAAAAAATAATTTTTGAATATTTTTATCATATTCATTTCGACAGCCTAATCTGTAAACCAAGTTATTAAAGAAAATGGCCTGAACACATTTTGTACAGCAAAAAAACATAAAGAACATTGTCTTATCTCAGTATTGCTAATGCAATATTGTAGATAGTTTGGTTGGTTGTCTCAATTCTTCCTTTCTATTATCAAATGTTTTGTATAAACACACGTCTTAAAATACCGTATTCGACGTAAAAAGCGTCCAGGGCCATCTCAAAATTAGAAATAGGGGACGCTATAATTATTAGAATATAATTTTGGTGAGAAAAAAACAGAGTTGAAAGATTGTAAATTTCGTAGTTTATGCTGACAAAAGAAAAGTCTCTGCGTATTATACACAACAGACATATTTTCAAGAATATAACACACGAGTGAGTATCATACACGAATAAAAAAGTCTTGTGTACATTGATCAATCGGAAGGGGTGCTAATTGGGATGGTTCGCTAGCCAATATATTAGCAAATATCGCCGTGGGCGCTTATTAGAGAGGGGCGCTTATTACGTCGAATATGGTAGTTTTAAATATTCTATTGTACCCCTTGTACTTGAGATGCACTCATGTTAGAATCAAAATGCTTCACAACAAGGCTGTGTGATATACCATGTATGAATGTCATGTACATACAAGTAGACAGATCTTCTGTGATGGGAGTTGTCAGTCAACTCCAAACCCACTGCTTTGTTCAACCTGATACAGATGTGCCAGTTGCCCCCAGATCCTCCTCTGTGACACCCTGGTCTGCCAGCTCCTCCTGGACTCTTCTCAAGTAATCCGGGTCTGGGTAGCCATGACTGAATAGAAACATAGACAGTAAAAACACATAACAACTTCTATCCAATAGCTCATCCAATACATTTGTGATGCCTGGCTTCCATTGTCACTTTGTTAATGAGGCCCGTTGCAAAGTAAATATTCCATGAAATATCATAACCTCTGCATACTAGTGGCTTTCACCAGATGCCTAATGACCTCGTGTTAATTTCAGGGCCAGTACGTCGACGGTCCTGTGTGTTTTTAAATCACACCCCTTAATTGTTCACGCATGATTTAATTCTCAAACCAAAGCAACAGAGCTCCGTACAGTGAAGCCAATAACCAAGCGCTGCGTCACTTCATTCATGTCTTAGAATGCTTGTGAAGACTGGATTGATAAACAAAGCCTAGATTACAATATATGTGCCTCAGTCATGTGAAGCCAATGCCTTCTCCCAGCACCAGCCCATCAAAATATTGCATATGTTATCCTGCAACGTGAGAAGTTGATTCCATTTGCGTATTCATCCTTTGTTTCTATTAGATGCATGGTTCCTGCTGTTGTAAGTGAAGCCCTACTGGCACTTGATGTGTAAAGCTGTATTGTCATGCATCTCACTGTCACAGTTGTAGTAGCATATCTACATCATTCTGCAAATCAATATGTAAAGCGCATTGCAATGCTTCCATTCGGCCCATCTGGCCTTATGTCAATAATAAGTGTGTTTGTTAACAAAGAAGAGAAAATCCGGTCAGGTGTAGCCTACACAAGCAGTGTGGTCACTGGAGCAAAATCTCACCTCGTGGAATAAGGTGAGGAGAGCAGAGTGAGCTCGGGGTTATCGGCTATTGCACGTACAACATGTTTCAGAACGTTCGACGTACTTGCCCTTTAAGAGTATGGTACTTTCAGGCATATTACTCATGTCCCTTTTCCTTCATATGTCATGTTGAATATTCAAGTTAAGCAATACCTGAGTATTGTCAGTTAGACACTAATATGAAATGGATGGTGTAGATATATGTTAAAGACATCACTTCAAATATATGACCAAAAGACGCACATAGATTTATAGAAACTTTCACTTATTAATCTGATATTGAGGCCACTCAGTTGCACTCAGCTACAAAAGCGGTTTTGAGTCTCTGATAATAGTACAGTGACTTACTTTGTTGGACCACCACTTGTACTTGTCTTGTGGTGTATTTCATTCCATGTGATGCAGCTATCCCTGCCCATGGTAACAGACCTGCCGATGGTGAATGTTAGACGTCTTTTCCAAGCCACCTTCAGCAGAGACAGGACCTTCTGTCCTTCTGCATTGTTTGGTAGGTAAGCTGTACGGGTAAAGCCCCTATACCACTGTCCTGGATCTGGATGTTCTTCCTGAAGAAAAATGAGCTACCTTCAATTTTACATCAAACAATTGGTAGATTTAGTATACAGCCCAAGTTAAATTAGCTGATATTTCTCAACACCATCAATAGACAATTATCATGAACTTAAGAATTTAAATTAAGGAGTTCCATTATAAGCTTAGTAGCATTTATCAACTATGATGAGTCAACTACAAAAGAAATGTTTGGTCCATGACATGAAAACTGACCCCTTCTGGCATGGTTACCCTTTACCCTTTTTGTGTACACTTTGTGTCATCATTGATTTGCAGTGTTCCATTTATATCGTTCCAACCATTTTTTTGCCTTTTATGCCCAATATTTCGCTAGCAAATGGAGACTGATTATTCTTTGGCATTCACATTTTACTGTTCTATTATACTTGCGGTTGTGTGGCTGTCAACATATCAGAACTTTATTATAATACATGGCCTTGAAATTACTTAGAACATTATGTTTGCAAAAAACTCAAAATATGCAGCCAAATGTCAGATTCCAAACTTAATACTGGTCTTTGACTATTTGTACTTATAATCACAAATCAAATATGATTGAATTGACAATTTACAAACCGTCTGGTGGCCATCATTGAAAGCATATGTGATGATGATGGTGCCACATCCTTTATATCCCGGAAGATCAAAGTAATCAACTCTGTCTCTCATTGTTCCAGGCGGCATGTTTCCTGTGATCTCCCCACACTTCATCTTGCACACTGGACAAACTGCCTTGATTTTGAAAGCATTGTCAACACACTGTTTACAGAACTGATGTCCACATTTCAGCTTCACTGGATCAGTCATTGGAGATAAGCAAATGACACAGTCTTCCCCTCCTTGCACCTCCGTCTCTTTACTGGTGATTGCTGTAGCCGCAAGACCACATGAGATAAGGTACTGTTGCAACCTCTGCATCAGCCCATCTACCACATGTTGCTGGTTGTCTACAATTTGGACATGCAATGTTGGCTTTTTCTCATCTTGATCCAGTTTTATCAGCTGATCAACTGTTGTTTCAATAAACGTGATGTCCACATTCCTATGAGCTGGAAACACACATGCACTGAGAAACTATGCGAAACTATAACAAAAATAAAACTATAGTTATCATTGTTTATTATTCTTATAATACTACCTTTATTACATCAGTGCTATAAATTCTGTATTTTCGAATCCATCACACTATAAAATCTTTAGGTTTTCAAAAGAAGTAACCCTTCATTATTACCCTTCATTATTACCTATCCATAATAAGTTTTGCAAGTACCGGTAATAGTACCTTGTTACCAAGGTCTCGTGCTCAGGTCCAAAGCAGGAAATCCTGTTTGAATTATTCACAATGATAACTATTGTTGACAGTTCCGATGAATACATAAACTCTATCACATCAGTGCCAGAATATACCCAAGGGTATAAAGTGTTCTGACATCAAGTAAAACCCTGGATAGTTAACTTGTAGCTGCAGAAATTGGGGAGGGCTACAGGGTGATGATGGCACGTGCTGCCAACTGGTCAGAGGCTTTAGATGCTCTGCAAGTCTGACTGAATGTCCCTTAGATAGAATGAGGTAAACAATGTTGAATTTCCATTGACTCGCTGCTACCTGCTCCACAGACATTGCCTACATGAGGCAAGACTAGTGGATACGGCCCTAATATATAAAATAGGTTTTGAACACTGAAGCAGCCAATTCCGCAAATTGAAATTCTTGAGATGGTTGTCTTGAGTCAACTCACTAGTGTTGCTTTAGATATGTCCTTATCTGATGCCAGCTTTTCCGAGAACTATTGAAGGAGCAACAGGATTGCATGCCTGATACTCGGCAGAAATGGAGTCGATACTGATAAAACAGCGACAGGCTGGGAAAGCTGGGGGACGCTGCCAGGTGTCATGGATCGCCCCCTGCAAGATATTGCCAGCCTCGATAGTCTGAACTGCCGATAGCTATCAGTTTAGTGGTGAATTGTTTACGTTTTAGGGATTTAAGAAGGGGAGCAGCATAACCTCTAACTTCGGAGTGAGTTGGGTTTAACACCGCTTTTAACAGTATTCCTGTTATAGCCAGTTAATGTGGGAGGAAAGCCCAAAGTGATGCAGGTCTCAGACGTTTACCACTTTGGTGAAACCCACAAGCACGAGTATGGTGCTGGCAAACCTAGAAACATAATCAGGGCGAACCGTGATTCGAACCCACAATCATGGGTTTCTGGCATGCCCAAGGGACGCAACTGTGCACAGCGAATCGCGGCGCATAAGACGACTGGGCCACCCGTGCCCCCTACAGTAACAACAATCTGAAATATTTATTCTATTATCACACTATTGGTATTGATGTTTGTCCATGTACATAGAGAATAACCAGTCCATAACCAGATAGAATAATCATGGGATTAAAATCTGTTCTTCAGTTCAGATTTGTTGACCGATATTTCTGGTGTTGCACGCTCCATGTGATCAGCTGTGTTTTTAGGTGGGGAAAAACATTGTGTCCATGTAAAATTTGAGTTAATTAAAAATGTAAATAAATTTTGTGAGCCATGCCTTACTACACGCTATGACCGAGTTAGCGCTATATTAAAAGGCGCAATAGCGAGGGAACACTGTACTTAGTGTTACGTGTTGTCTTAGCTCAAAAATGTCAAAAATATACCTGCAAAGGTAATCTAGTATTGTCTAATGTCTAAAGGGTTATTTGAATTACACATACCTGATTTACTAGGTGGTTTTGTCAATATCAAATTTGCCAACTTGTTTTTCACACAACTGTCAAGTGCTTTTTTTAGACATTTTGAAATGTCTTCATTGTTTGTAAATGAAGAGATGATTGCAAAGATCACATGTTTCTGTGGCAGAGATCCTCCAGGCCCTTCAGCTATGTCACCCCATAATTTGGTCATTCCGTGAGCTTTATCTCTACCTTTCCTGTAGGATTCCCCTCCAGCATCATTCATCAGCTTATGCAGGGGGCTTGTTGTGCTGAAACGATGGTCTTCCCAGGACAGGATAGCATCTGCATCAATTTTCAAGATATCATCTTTTACAACTCTCAGAGAGACACTTCCACTTTTTCCCAGCCAATGGGCAACAGCATTGTTATCTTTCTCCTTGTGTTCTCCTGGGGTTACTTCTAAGGTTGTAACTGATGCCGATGTGTTGGAGTCAAGGCATTTCATGATAAATGCTCTGTCTTTGGTCAGATTCTCCGTCTTGCCTGGTTGGCTCCAGGTGTTCTGCAGTCCCGTCTGGATGATGGTCACCATGGTCTCACTGATGTCAACAAAGTGGACCTCCTTCAGAGATCCTCTTTCAACAACTGTGTCGAAGCTCTTCAAGGCACGGACATACATCTTGGCACATGCATCCTTAGGAACTGCAAAAATTGCTGAAAACATGAAAGTTGAAGTTAAATGACAGAAACCTATGAAAAGAAAATAGATCTTGGCTGTGTCACACTTACATGCCAACTATTGAACTACATTTTCTATCTTAATATCTTTTAAATTATTTAAAGTTGCGGTGTCAGTGAGTTAATCTAGTCTTTGTATTTAAAATGTGTAATTATAAACTGAACCTGAAAGAATTTGTTGAGTCACAAAAAAACTGTATTTCTCTTTTACTTTGTATATATTCTGGTATGGTCCTGCTTCTTGACATCGTGCACATTGCAAATATTGATCTGGTTGCACATAAATAGAGTACTGGTATATTATGTGAAACATCAGAAATAGTAGTATAGGTAATGATGGTTCTGGACCACTTCCACTGGAGCAAAATTTATATACCTATACCACCACTACAGGGGATTTTTTTATGTGTAAATGATCATGCGATTCAACGATAGTCATAATCATCAATATTAATTAATAATGAATAAAATTTACTATAGCCTACGAGGATATTGGAAAGATATAGGCGCAATAAACAAATTAGCCACCGCGGCTAAGGTATCTAAAGATGTAGCTAAGGATTGGTTAAAGAAACAAGCAATATGGCAAATATATTTACCAGCACCACGTTATATACCGAGGAAGAAGTTTAATATTTTCACAACGAATGAAGTTCATCAGGCTGACCTCTTGTTTCTTCCCCGTGATAAGGTAAGACGCAAGGCTTATAAATACGCTTTAACCGTAGTGGATGTGGCTAGTCGATACAAAGAGGCTGAGCCATTAACCTCGAAGGATTCAACAGAAGTAGCTTATGCACTGAGCCGCATATATAAACGCGGACTACTAAAATGGCCTAAGCTATTTCAAGTAGATCCCGGTCGCGAGTTTATGGGATCGGTAACTAAACTGTTAACAAAGCACGATGTCGAAATCAGGCATGGTGAAAAAGAGGCCCATCGTAGTCAGGCTATCGTTGAAAGATTTAACCGGACATTAGCGGAATGTTTGTTTGGCTATGGGATCGAAATGAAATCGGAACGATTGAGATCAACCGAATGGGTGACACGATTATCAGCTGTTGTATCGGCCCTGAATAATGAAGTAACGAGATTAATCGGTAAGAAACCATCCGATGCCATTAAGATGAATTATGTGACTTCCGAATCTTCAGCACCGAGGAGAGGCAAAGAACAAAACTTCCTGATAGAGTAAGCGTAAGATATTTATACCAGCCCGGTGAACTCAAAGGAGGCCTACGTCGCGCAACCGATCCGATTTGGTCCCTTAAGACATATAACATTAGTCGATTGGTTATGAAAGCAGGAGAGCCTATTCTTTATTATCTTCAAGATGTACCAGGCAGGGCATTTGTACGAGAAGAGTTGCTCATAGTTCCCGACGATACAGTATTACCACCCTAAATAACCATAAGCATAGGTAGTTACACCATCCTTATCAATCCATCTCTTTGTATCTAAGGGGGATAATGATGTCTTGTTCATTCTTAATCCATATATCCTATGATTGTAACTTCTTAAAGAGTTCATCTCATATTTGAACGTTCTACCGTTGAATAATGCTTCTTTATACTGTTCGTGTTTGATATGCTTTTTTACCACATACTTCTTAACACCCGTAGGTTTTCTTATCTCTCCATTATCAGACTTCTTTATAGAAATACATCTTAGGTCCGACATACTCTGCTATAGGAGTCCCAGCACATTCATCCTTCATCTTACCTAACACCTTTTTTATTTACCATGCTGTGCAGTGGATAATCTTTAGGGTAATCACTCGTGTCGTACATGTACATAACTATTTTTTCTGCCATATCTTTATACACATCCTCGCTGGCTATCTGTGTTCAGCTTTATATGGGGCTCCATCCAAGGACTTTGATCAAACTTTAGAACTCTTTGTATTTTCTTAAGTTTCATACCTAACGATAGATATAACTGGAGATTTCTGTAGTGAACTATACATTTTGTCTTATCCATCAAATTTGGTACGAGTTTTTCTACTTTAGCTTACTTTGTATTACCCATCAAGGAGCGTTGATATTCTGACATCCAATCTTTATCCAAGTTACATTCACAGGTAATCTAGGAGATTTAAGCGATGTTGATGTTAGTAGACTCCTTAAAAACACTTCGTACAATCTTACTCTCAACGATGATAATAAATGGACTATGATCGAAACAAACATCGAGTGGCTATTGAATATCGTCATTACCCCACCGTATGTGATGATGGGTAAGGCACATAATTTAACTAAGATAATAAATAGTGGCATCGTACTCGGGGCTTATATCCCATCAAAACGAAAAGGTGTGGTAGTCTCTCCCCTCCCAAAAAAACCCAGGTCATATGTTATTTAGTCGTCCGGCAGAAAAAATGTTAGTTTAGATTTGGTTACTGAATTCAATGATATTAAACAGAACTTGAGTGCAATACCTAATCTTTCTACACTTATTATTGAAGTCTTGTTCGGAGATGCACCGGAAGATGCCTTCGAAATATTACCAGGTCTATCGATTAAATGGCTAAAGAAACCTCAACGTCAACGTTGCAGTATTATTCATATTGGAGCATCACCCGTTACCACCCTTGAGGGTGTCCAAATTATTAAAAGTGGTAGTATTTCTCTTACTAAGATATTCATGCCGTATAATATTCATTTGATAAGGTTGATGTATACTCTCAAAACATTTAAGCAAGACCAATTAAAGACTATTATATGAACGTAATATACACTATGAGTTTGATGAAGTATCTGAAAAGATGGATACTGTTGATGGATTTAGATTACATCAAATAAGCGACATAAAACATCGAATAGATAAGGAGAGGGGGCTGATACTTGGATTGTATAAAAAGTATCGCAGAGCCATAAATGCTCTCGACGGAGTTGACACCGCGCTTGTAACGGCTAGCATGGGACTCGGTGTAGCTGGTGTTGGATTATTATCAACTATAATCGCCGCGCCTATCGTACTTGGCATGGAAATAGCGTCTGGAGTCTCAGGTATAGTAGGAATAGCGATAAAATTCATTTCTCATAAGTTACAAAAGAAAGCATTAAAACACGATAATATTCGGATAATCGCCAAAGCAAAGTTGAACAGTATTGAGGATCATATTTCAACAGCAATGGCTGATTGTAAGATATCCGAAGAGGAGTTTCCTTTAGTGCTGTCGGAACTCACCAAATACAATGCAATGAAGCAGGAGATTCTAATTCTCATAAGACCAGTGGTATTAGCTAAGACGAGAAAAAAAAGTTTATAGAACAGGGGAGGCAACAAGCGGGTCAATTATTCCGTGCCAAAAACAAAGAACTGGTTGGAGATTAAAAAAAGATTGCTTACTATCGTTGGATCACATTTAGACAAATGCTTACATAAATATATAATAATGGAGAATTACAACCAAACAAAGGAAGAAATCGAAAAAGCTATCAAATGGAGAGAATTACCACAAGGTATATATTTTATCAGTGGTGTCAAACCAACCAAATACGGTTATCAATTGTTTCTTACCAATTTCCAAAAAAAGTATATAGTCTGGTCTCTTAGTAAAATGAACAGAGAACTTAATAAAAATGTTGAATATTGCTTTGTTCAAAATAATGGTATACGTATTAATAAAAATAATAAAGAATATTTTCATTACAATTTAGTCTCATCTGTACTAATGGCATCATTGATTGGCTCCAGGTAGTGGTGAGCTAGAGCCAATTTAACTTGATCTTCATGCGATCGTTGGATCGCATGATCATTTTTGCATAAAAAATTCCATCTGTAGTAGCAGTATTTGTATATAAATCTGACTCCAGTGGAAGTGGTCCAGAACCATCATTACCTATATACTCGGACCCCATGGTACCGCGGCATTTATCGTATCGCGGCATTTGTGATTTCCGATAGTTCACGCGGGACACGCCTCTTAGCGGCTGTCTATTAATGCAAATCAGTAACCAGGAAGTGCTCACTTCGTAAACAATTTCAATTTCCTCGCAATGTTCTGTCTGCTGTAAGTAAGGAGTTATTAATCCGTTGATACATATTTCTGGCATCTGTTGTAATATTGCCTTACCCCCATCTATCAATGGCCAACGATATAACCCGCAGTTCCCCAAGTAAACTTTCTCTATCGACCTGAACTAGATCATCTGCATATTCATGGCGACTAATGAGGTAACGGAAGTTACGTAGTCCGCACATTTTTTCCCGCTCGGTGCCCAGAATCTATTGGGAGATCATAAGGGCCATAATGCCAAAATTAAAAATACGTTCTTCACTAGTCACCAAAAGATAAATACACACTTTGGGCATACTAGGAGTGCTTTTTATATATTTATTGTTGACTTTTAACATTTTTCCATTTTGTGACAAATTATTGTCATCCAATCTTTTTTAAACAATCTTAAAATATCATTTCTGATATTTTGATGTTGACTTATATAAATATTTTTCTCTTACTTTTCGGTAAATATGCATTGAATACCTATTGCTGATAACACATTTAGAATTTTACTTGTGCTGTCTTTGCACTTGTCTGGACAAATCACTGATGTCTGGCATGATCATACCAAGTGGTTGGTAGAATTATGTCCTCTTTTTGTCCAATTCGGACCTCCATACACAACTTTTCTCTGTACCGCGATACGATGGAGTTCTCTACCTTGTCAAACAGAGCGCGAGGCCCGGCTTTTACTCGGAGCTACTGATGTAAATAATGAACTTTTATCAGTAAAATATGCATTGTTTGATCACATGAATGATATCTGATACAGAGAACACAAATAATCATAAAGGTTAGTGAGTGCATTTTGTTCCGTTTAGCGTACATGACAAGTACCGCGATACCCCGAGGTTGCAGGCTACTACTAAAAAATAGATGTCAAGTGAGAAGGTTTTGACCGTCAATGCAGATATACTGGTATTCAAAATGTGGCTTTGAAATCAAGGTTTACTCACCTGAAGATTTATTGTAAATCATTGCTAACAAGATCTGATCAGTACCATCAAATAACTGAACACATATCAGTCATGTAATATTAGACCTGACTGCAGTATTCAAAATTTGGATTATCTTAAAGTGCAAGTATCATGAAAAAATAGCAATAAAATTTTTCCTAACATCACTATGTAGCCCTGCTACATACACTACAATGGCCAAGAGAAAAAGTGTGAAAACAGCACTGTTAAGTTGAATCAAAGTACATATTTTGAGGTCTGTATTTCTAACAACCCAACCGAATCTTAAAAGCACGAACAAGAAGGCATGGCCTAATGTCCTGCTAGGCCTGTAAGCTGTTTGGGTGCTACAACCAGCCTGGTACAGAATATTCATGATGGTTTCATTAGTTGTGGGGAGACCTATGGTGTCTATACTGAACACTGATATGGATTCTACATATGTCAACCGATTGACTAGTGGCGGGCGCGTCAAGTAACCTTGATTTAACACAAATTATATAATATTAACATTGCAAGATATTTTCCTTTCAATTTTAGAATTTTGGGGGCGCAGGTTCCACCCCAGCTCAATATGTGCCATTCTAAAGAAAGAGATTGATTGATTGTTGTAGCCAGTTAGTGCTAATCTCACCTACTGCCACTTATGTCACATGCAACTGCAGGAGATTATTGCGTAAAGTATGCGTGCAGTCAGTCCAGGTATCATAAATCACTCAGCCATGTGAATAATCTAATGTAACATGTTAGCAACACGGATTTACTTAGTCTATGACATGTCACTTCATCTTTTATGTGCTATTTCAAGACACAAACGGGATACTGTGATTTGGAGGAAATAAACAAAGCAAACAAACTAATCTGTGTTTTGCAATCACTTGTCATCCATGTTTCCAAGATGGGAATCATCCTGATCATTTTCGTCACTATTGTCGGTCACAGGTAGGGGTTCAGTTGTACTTCTTTCGCACAAATCACCAATTCATCTTCTGAGAAACATTCACTGTCCATAATAACTCGTAAACTAGTGTCAATGTTTGTAATGCAAACAATAAACGCAACCGAAGAAATAGCATGTTTTGCACATAGTTTTCTCACCGAATATTGTGATGTAAATTGCCTGCTAGTGTCCGAACGGAGCAGTGGTCTTGTTCGATCAAGTGGGAGTGAGTGAGTTAATTTAAAGTCACACGATCAAGTGTGAAATGCTGGAGGTAGCCTGTGCGATCAAGCATGTTATTTTGGAGGTAGTTTCCCCCAATAGGACCATATATGGAGCCTGTGTATATAAAGGCTCCGCCTCCACCATATGTTTGTTTCAGCCTTTGAAATTGCTAAACAAGAAAAGAGTGCAAATTAACCTTAATTAAGAGCTGCTTTCGATGTTTTGAATACGCTATTTGCATTTACGATCTATCCAAATCTGCAAAGTTGTATATATACCCATGAGACTTGCACTTTAAACTTTTGCACAAAGGAAGTACACAAAACAGAAATTTATCAACTATAACTTAAAATATGTAAAATGTCATACTTGATATGTTTTACAGATAATTGGACCCGTGAAGATCTGGGGTAGAATAGGTCTTAAGCAACCCATGCTTGTCGTAAAAGGCGACTAACGGGATCGGATGGCTAGGCTCGCTGACTTGGTTGATGCATGTCATCGATCCCAATTGCGTGGATTGATGCTCATGATATTAATCACCGGATTGTCTGGTCCAGACTCGATTATTTACAGACCGCCGTCATATAGCTGGAATATTGCTGAGTGCGGTGTAAAACAACAAACCAACAGATAACTGCATCATAATAATGACTATAGTTCATGTGATTAAAAAAGAATCTATCTATCTATATATCTATCTTGATTACAGCTGACAGAAACACTAATTCTGCATAAATGTTGCAGCTATACAAATTCAAAATAAATGTTCATTTTGCAATGAAAAAAGTACAATTGCTCTTTGATATTTTGATCTTAATTGAGCTTTATGATTACAAGACTGATAAATGATGTGTTTATTGATATGAAACTTAATATTTTACTTTAGTTGTGGCCCACGTTCCTTTCAAGAATACATTGATCATTTTAAAATGCTTAATATTGACAATATTTTCCCTTTAACAAAATGAACCATTACGTGTAGCCACACAAATTGTGTTGTTATAGTTTAGTGTATCATTGACCATTGCTAGTACATTTGTATATACAATAAGATTATGACACAATGCAGTCTTAGGATATTATCCTGTTACATTTTGTTAAAACTGACTGTTTAAACATTTTGTTTCAAACTTAACCATTTTAGATGTTATTAGTCCATTATGAGTTGTTTTTGATAGAAATGTTTAATTGTATGTTAAACGTATTGTCAAGTTAGTGTGTTTGTGGCTTTATGCTGCATGCAGCAATATTCCAGCTGTATGACAGCGGCCTGTCAATAATCAAGTCAGACAAAACCAATCAATGACATAAGCAACGATCCAAACTGTAGGGGCCACTGCCACTGAGCCTGACCACCCAATCCATCAAGTCGCCCTCATTACCAACAGATTCTAAACTGGCATCTCATCAGGGGCATGTCAAGAGTCTAAGAAGAGTTGTAAACTGTGTTTGCCTTAATAATAGTGATGAATTTAGTGAACTCTTGAATGTGATGAGTGCTTGCATATGATTTGTCTATAAGTTGATGATAATTGTCAAAGAACACAATGCATAATGCAGGCTCTTTCTCACTGAAAAGGTCAAAGGTTCAAGTTGTGGACAAATTTGAAATATTGGTATGAAAAGCATTCCTCTTTCTTACACTAACATGTTTTTACTTCTGGCATGATCTAATACAAACTTCAAGAGAAAATCTAAGTTTTTACCCCATATTTATGCTGTTTTTATCGACATCTCCCAAGAAAATCCGCCTGGGGCAAAGACTTTCTCAAGTTCAAATAGTAGAAAAACTCTTTCTGAAAACCTCTAAATTCAGCCCTTTTTTGAAAGATTTTAACCTAACCCAAGCATTTTAGGTTATTATACGTCCCAAACAGGCCATTGTTGTACACAGTTTCATCATGCCTTGTAATGCTCTTTTCACAAATAATATGTACCCTTTTACACAATTTCAGTTGTTCCAGGACATAATATTGTCGGACAAATGGACACAGAGGACATATACATGTTTTACATCATGATTGTCAGAAAATATTGGTTGAGGAATATGAAGTTGTGGACCGGGGCATGTGGAAGAAATCGATAACACAATATTTTCTCATTTTTTAAATCTTAATTTTTTCAGCATCCAAATGAAAAATCATTGCCAGTACTTGTGATGGTCAAATTGATAGATTTGATAGAATTTTTAATTGTATGTTAAACGTATTGTCAAGTTTGTGTGTTTGTTGCTTAATGCTGCATGCAGCAATATAACCAGTAAATGACATGAGCAACGATCCAAACTGTAGGGGCACAAGGACATGCAATAAACCAAGCTACTGAGCCTGACCACCCAATCCATCAATTTTTATTCTGGCATGAGTTTTTACCCCATATTTGTGCTGTGTTTATCAACATCTCCCAAGAAAATCATCTTGGGACAAAGACTTTTTCAAGTTCAAATAGTAGAAAAACTCTTTCTGAAAACCTCTAAACTCAGCTCTTTTTGAGAGAGTTTAACCTTACCCAAGCATTTAGTGTTATTATACGTCCCAAACATGCCATTGTTGTACACAGTTTCATCATGCTTTGTTCTGCTCTATTCACAAATAATATGTACCCTTTCAGCCAAAAGGGCTCTCATCATACCTCATCTTTTCTCATTGGAAAAACAAGTTGTAGACTATAAGTTTAACTTACATGAACTTATTGATGGAAATGCAATGGTTTCAAAAGATCTGTTGACAGCTTCACAGAGACATCTGAGAATGGTGCAGCACAAATCCTCCAGGCAACTCTCCTTGTCGGTGTAGTTCCTCCACCTGGGACCAACTGCATGGAAAACCCACTTACATGGTAGCTTGCCTGAGTTTGTCACAGCAAGATCTGTTACTGGAATGTCTCCCCTCTGTAGAACAATGCTGTTCCCTTCATACTCCAGCTGCCGACCAGCTGCCCTTGCAATGCTTCGAGCAACACCTGCTATATGTGATAACTGTCCATTTGCCCCATTGACAATAACATCCAGTGCCAGACTTACTATGCTTTCCTTGTATACTTTCACAGTAAAACTTCGGCCTTCAGCTACTGCAGCACCTGATTCCATCACAAATGATATATCTCCATGTTGTTTTATGTCAGTTGCAAACCCCCTCTTACTACGAGAAGCTTCTTTTCCTTGGCCACACGGTAACATCATTCTTTCAACCTTCGGAATCTTTCAGCAACAAATACAAATAAAAAAGGAATTCAATATATCAAGCTTAAATATTTTATGACAATACTTCATGTAGCAAACCACAATAACTATTCTGTGTGTATTTCGTATTTATGAAAATATACTTTTATTAAAGAATTATGAAGTACATACATCAATATCAGATGTTGAACGATTTCTACACAAAAACAATTCACAACCTGTCCTCACAATTGGGTGTGGCATATCAATATGATACACATCCCTGGGTATTTTTACTTAGTCATCGGGTGTGTTTTGGGAATGTTACTGTCAGTGTAAAGTGGGAGAGCGTTAATTTGCTGAACAATATACATTGTATGGTATTATAAGGACGTATTGCCTGGTGAGAGGGTATGTGCACTTTGTCTCAATTGATATAAACCTTATCTTTACTGAGGGCATATTGTGACAGCGTATCATAGTCACCATGTGGTCGTCACATCCCAATTAACCTGGGTACATAAGTACATACAATAATTAGCATTCACCTGATGAAGGAGCAAGAAGTAGCTCTGAAACGTGACAAAGAAAAAAAGAAGTTGTTATCCATAAAAAGTGTCATGTATTCATGTTCTCCCAAATTCAAATGCCTATCAAAGACTTCAGTAGACTCACGAATGGCTCGTAAACAAGCACTTAGTAACAAGACTGAACTGATATAAAAAAAACTAAAATTTATTTAAATATGTTCTTAAACAATGAGAATAGCAATAACTGAGTAAACTCTTTTACGTTAAGTGGAGATGTTATTACAATATTGATCTATAATGATATGGTGAAATCACGGCACAGTATACGCATGGCTGGCGTTCAGAAGGTGGTGGACTTTCTCTCTTCAAAGAAACCTTTATCTCAGGTTCTCCACGTTGGTTGTTTATAGAAGGCATGTTGTCCTCCAGACCTGCCTCACTGGCGATGCATCATTAGGACATGCAGTGGGAAGATTTCAAATGTTGTCGTCCAGACCTGCCCTCACTGGCGATGCATCATAAGGACATGGAGTGGGAAGATTTCAAATGTTGTCCTCCAGACCTGCCCTCACTGGCGATGCATCATAAGGACATGGAGTGGGAAGATTTCAAATGTTGTCGTCCAGACCTGCCCTCACTGGCGATGCGTCATTAGGACATGGAGTGGGAAGATTTCAAATGTCGTCAAGACCTGCCCTCACTGGCGATGCATCATTAGGACATGGAGTAGGAAGATTTCAAATGTTGTCCTCCAGACCTGCCCTCACTGGCGATGCGTCATTAGGACATGGAGTGGGAAGATTTCAAATGTCGTCAAGACCTGCCCTCACTGGCGATGCATCATTAGGACATGGAGTAGGAAGATTTCAAATGTTGGTAGCCAGATATGCACTCACTGGAGGTGCATCATAATTTTATGGAGTGGGAAGATTTCAAATGTTGGCAGCCAGACCTGTACTCACTAGAGATGCTTCATATAATTATATGGAGTGGGAAGATTTCAAATGTTGGCGGCACTCGTGAAGAGCACCCTCCCCTTGGTGAGTGCTGGGTAACGCTTATAGCTCTTCCCCCCTCGTGGACCCGGGGTGGAATATGTCCTTTTTGAATTTTTTGAATTTATGACAGAAATGTTTGAATAAACATGAATATTGATTTTTGCACAACTTGATAAATTCCAAATTTGCCTAGATGCCAGTGCCAGAAGGCGGATTTATTGATCTTCGATTAATAATTCCGCTTGAGTAAAACTTCTTGGCATCCTTGGTGTCGCCTGTCGGAGACCCACAGGCACATGACATTGTTGACACTCCATGGTGGGTGGGGACCCAAGAGGGTGAATCAAAATAACTGCCAACATGGAACCCCCAATGAAAAAAACGTTCTCATGATTCACATGATGGTTTTGATACTGAGGATGATAGTCCACGGACTCCCCCTGTTACATTTGAAAACTGGCCTCGAGTTTTGATGATTTCTCCTTTGGACGACACTCCTCCAAAGCTTAATCCCTTTGCTATACAAGGCACAGCTGGTGATGTTGAAGATGCAAACAGATTATGCAGTGGATGTTTGCGACACAAGCAAGCAGTTAGTCTTCTCTCTATTAAGACCCTTGCTAATGTTCCTGTTGTTGTTTCCCCGCATAGGTCCCTGAACAGCAGTAAGGGAATTGTGCGCGACAGAGGCCGATTCCTCGCTGATATGACTTAGAATGACATTTTAGATGAACTAAGAAGCCAAAATGTAATTGCTGTCAAACGTTTTTCTTCCAAGAGAAATGGTGAGAAGGCTTCTGGAGGATCGTCTATTTTGGTGCGTCGAAGCACCATTCAGAGCCCTGTTCCGCTCAATACCCCTCTTCAGGCAGTTGCAGTTCGTGTTACGCTGCATATTGTGGTCACTTTGTGTTCACTTTATATTCCGCCATCATCTTCACTACGTGGCACTCGTGAAGAGCAACCTCCACGTGGTGAGTGCTGGATAGCGCTAATAGCTCTTCCCCTGTGTGGACCCGGGGTAGAATATGTCCACAGCACCCCATTGCTGGTCGTAAAAGGCGACCGAATTGGGCAACCTGTATGCCGTGGGTTGCGCCCCTGTGTCGGCGGAGGACGGTAGTCTGGTGGTTGAGGGCACTGGTTCCAGGAATAGCGTTTCTTTGCCCAATACACCACTTCGACCCTTACCTCGCCTAGACGGGTGGTAGAATTGGCCCGGTTCTATCAATCGGCTGGTCACACCAAGCCCCGTGCAATAACATTGTCTTGTACAAAATTGAACAAACTACGATATGTCAACAGTTGCAATTAATCTGTTTTCAACTTAGACAAATTCATTGAATTTATAATGGTTAATTGCAATGTGAAGTATATTTGTTTTACACATAAATGTTATATTTAATTGTATATTTTGGGGTTTTGGTCACTCAGTTCATTAAATTTCAATATGTTGAAAAAAATGAATACAAATCATTGCCTAGAGTCAAATATGCCCAGAAGGCGGTGACTCATGGGCCAATCCGGTAGATCTATTATTCTTGCATTAATACTTCTGCTTGAGTATACCGCCCAAGTATCCTTGGTGCTGTCAGTCGGAGACCCACTGGCGTATTGCATTGTCTTATTGATACTCCGTGGTGGGTGGGGAGCTGTGCCGATGAACCTCTATACACTTACCATGATACCCCCAAAACAACTAAAACGTACGTTAGATGATAGTACATCTGATGATGATACTGTTTCAAAGAAAAGGTCTTTTGGTCTCGATTTTTGTTAATCTCAGCATCTGATGATTGACCTTTGAAGATAAATCCCTTTGCTCTTTCCAAAGCAATATATGGTATTGCTAGAGATTTCGTGACCATGAAAAAAATACTAGTTGAATGTAAATCTGCTTCACAATCAGCTACGCTGTTGGCTGTTAAACATTTCTGTGCCAGTTACTGTATCAGCGCACAAATCACTGAACAGTTCTAAAGGCGTTGTCAGGGACCGGGAACGTTGTCTTTCAGACATGTCTGAAGATGATATAGTTTTTGAACTGAAAGACCAGGGTGTAACAGGTGTCAAACGATTTAGCAAGAGACAGAACGGTCAAACTGAAAAGCTAAACACGTATCTCTTTACCTTTTCTGTTTCGGTTCCACCAAAATCCGTCAAAGCAGGGTATTGTAATATTGGTGTGGACAAGGACATACCGAATCCACTCCGGTGTTACTCATGTCGAAAGTTTGGGCTTGGTGCCCAATCATGTACCAACAGAAAGAAGTGTCACCTCGAGTGGAAACACTGACCATGATACATTAGACTGCTCAAACGATCCGAAATGTGCTAACTGCTTTGGAGATCATGTTGCATCTTCAAAATCCAGTCCTGTCTGGCAACTACAACACCAGATAGTAAATATGAAACATTAGAGGAATATTTCTTTTCAGATGCCAAACATTTCGTAATGTCATCTATCACTCCAACTGCAGCTGTATCATATTCAGCAGCCGTTGCACGTACACCTCAAAAAAGCTCCAAATCTGTTCACTCTGTTGAATGCCAGACGGACATCACCTGGGTTAAGAATAAGGAATATTCACTTCTCGATACTCAGTCTGTTGCATCTACCCAAACAAACTCTCCATCCAAATCACCGTCTCGTTCAACATCTCGTTCGCCATCTCCCACTGTGGTAAATGCCAGCAAGACACTCAACTATTCACAGAAATCTGATCGAATACCAAAAGGTCAACGTGATCCTGTCCAACTTTTCAACAAATTTCAGATTCTAGAGGACATGGATGTCACACCTCATCCCGGAACGCGAAGGAATAGTCATTCGCCTCGGGCAAGAAACAGATCTCCTGTACTGCCACCTCCTGTAATATGAACACTAACTACCAACTAATTCAGTGGATCTGCAGAGGTCCTATGACCAATTTTAATACAGTACAGTTGTTGGTACAAGATGTTAAACCTTCTGTTTTCAGTCTTTAAGAAACATATTTAAAGCAGACAGATAAATAAACGTTGGCAGCCAGACCTGCACTCATGGAGATGCTTTTTAAGGACATGGAGTGGGAAGATTTCAGATGTTGTCCTCCAGACCTGCAATCTCTGGAGATGCATCAATAGGACATGGAGTGGGAAGATTTCAATGTTGGCACCTGATGAGAACCTGTTGTCCAACAACCACCCATAGAGAAATACCACTGCCGTCAACTCCATTGTCAACACTGTAGAACGAAGGACTTCTGCATCACGATGCTGCTGCAACATCCTTCCCATCCTTCCCTCAAGTAGATAGCGCCCTCTGTCGTCACAGAACCACACCATCCGCAGGCTGTGTACTAAAAAATCTAAAGTTCAACTGCAAGGCCCCTGGACAGCTGCACATGATGGTGAGAGAATTTCTGCTTTTCACTCACAGAGAAGATAACAACATTGTTGTAGCTGAGATTGCTTCAGAATGGAGAAGTAATGCATGTGACAGAAAAAATCGGTATGTTGGATGGTGTGTGTTGTCAGTTGTAATATCAATATATGCATGGCAGAATAAAAATATAGAGAAACTCAAGTTGAATTATCATTTTAATTTATTGACGTATGTCTGCAAAGTAGGGTATCTGTTAGCGATACCATTTCAATGAACAGGTAGGAAGGTAGTTACTTTGTCTTTTGTTTGTCTTAGCTTTCTTCAAAATGGAGAGTCGCCAAAACAACTAAATCTTTGTAAAAATTTCAAACGCTAATGGAAATAAAAAAAATTAATTTACCATCGTGATGTTTGCCAGTAACAATATATGAATTTTAGCTCAGTTAAATTTAAGATATCGGAGATATGATTATTGAAAACAGTTTAGTGAGATGAAACGCATTCCACATTCAATCATGTATTGCAGGTATAAGTTCAAGAAAATTTACAACTTTTCTGTTTTCGTTTTGGTCTTAACGTGCATGTTTTTAAAAATGTCAGGAGCTTTTGGTTAAGTTATCCCATTTTATAGTGCCTCTTCTGGTTGAAATCACCGACTCTCTTTTCAGTGCATATACTCCATACATCCAGCAGGCAGGGCTAAGAGGTTTGCAAACTATTGAGAAGGCTAAAGACCCCACTTAAAGCAACAACAACTTGCTTGACTTGCTACTCACATTGCAAACATTTTTAGTTTAATGATCATTCAAACGTGTTACATATCATGTACATGTATGTTTTTTTAAATGTTTAAAGAAAAATCTTCTGACTCATGAAAACACAACTCTATTTTAATTATTCAGTGTTTTTGTATTTGTATGTTGTAAGTCTCCTACATTCGGGGATAAAGGGAACAGGCAGGGAATTATCTGTCCACTGGACCATTAACTTTGTTCTTTAAGACATGAAGTTGTTTTCGGAGGATACCTCAGCATGTAGTGTTATGTTTAGCATAAACCACATGGTTTAGGTTGAAAATGAGCAAGGGCTTTTCCCGAGCTCGAGGTTTTACATCTTCAACCAAAACCGAGGAGTATTTTATTCAACTTATGAACTGTGTAAATGTAAGAAATACCAGAAAATTAAAAGAAAACACCAGCATACCTTATAGTTTAACAAAACAGTAGGTGGCAGTATGAAAGAAATTTGATAAATGTGCAGCATGCACACATCTGAAGTCTAGGCATGTAAAATAGAACAATGCCCTGGTGGCTCAGTAGGAAAACAGTGGGTTACAAAACTTAACACGATGTGAGGTTGCAGTTTTGTTTCACGTGCAAGTCATTGAATTTCCATGCGAAAATGTTATGTGACTTTTCAACAATGAAAAATATACATAATATTCCTTTAAAAAGGCCATGTTATATGTAATCTGCAAAAACGACCCCGCAAAAGTAGTTAAATCGTAATTATCTAATATAGTGTTGCCAAAATCCATACAAATGTAATACCATAAACGAATTGGTCATTTCTGCATGGATTTGTGTGGAAAGAATGAGGTACTGCAGAAATATAGTGAAAAGATAGAAAAATCGCAAAAAAAGAACAATGTGAGAGTCTGGCACCGAAACACACCAATATGACAAGCACTTGCAACATCACTTGTTGGGCTATGAAAACGTTGAGTTTTCATTTGCATGTCATCACAATCTTACAACGAGCCAACAGCAAAAAACATGCCACGAATGACCGAAGTCCAATGCAACAACGCCATCGACCTACTACAAACATGAGAATCATCTTCAGCTTTAACCAAGTTTTTCCACGTATCACCAAGCACCATTATAAGACTGTGGAACCATTATCAGACACATGGGACAACACGTGACCTTCCCAAATCCGGTTGACCACGTATCTATGACAGGAATACATTAGTACATCGAGTTAGTGGAAAAATCCTTGGACCTTGACCAAAACATTCTCAAACCGATATCTTAATTAATTATAACAAGATGAACCCACATTTGTTAGATGTCTTGTCGGGATCGATATTTCTGCTGGTGGACTAAAGTCCCCGAGTTTAATCATAAGCTCAGTAGCATCTTTCAATGAATAATCAAATCAAGACTGGTTATTCCATTGCATTGACGTTTTATATTCACTTGAACTGGGTCGAAGTTTCTGCTTGTAGACTTAATTCCCCAAATTTCATAATAATCTCAGTTGCATTAATCTATGATGAGCCAATTAAGACTGGATATTCCCTTGCAATGGCGTTTTGTATTTGCAAGTGAGGATTCTTCACTTGTTTGTTCCCAAAATATTCTTTCAAGCCAGATTGTATCTGCAAATATCTGTTCAATTCATTAATGTGTTACGTAAGTATGTAAATAAACTCATGATTTTCAATACTAATTCAGCCTTTCCTTCAGTCCAGTTACATATGGACATGCATTTTCGGGGAAAATATATTTTCTTGAAAGAGGATTCACAGCAATATTTCTCGACAATAGCCAAAGGTGTGATATTGTAACTAAAATAAATCTTTTCATTGAAGACAAAAAAATGTGAAAGCATAAATTTAACATGTCTAAAATATGATTACCTCAGGCAACGCCGTTTGGCTGTCCAGATGCGTTGGTGCTTGATCTTCTGTGAAGATTTCTGATAAAGAAAATGAGTTGTTAAATTGTTGCTTTCTAAAACCAACAAAAGAAACAATGTGTACTCTTAGCCATCTCAAAACTGAACTGTCATTTTTCAGTGGTTTTGGCTTATAGACATTATTGTCTGTTATTACATGAATCCTCTTGTGTATCAAATAAATAGTTACAATCCCTGTTGTGCAACATAGGCAACTTACGGAATTATAAGGAAATAAATGTTTGGCATGAGTGACACAAATTTATTACTTTTGGCTCACCTGACTAAACGTTATGTCAGCTAATGCCTGTTTGACCGGTACCTGTCATAATCTTGTTCTCCTCAGAAATAATGAGTCCAATATAATCTTGTTCTCCTCAGAAATAATGAGTCCAATGAGTCCAATGAAGCTTCATTAATACTTCACATGTTTTCACTACCAAAGATGACACCACAATTCGGAAATCAGAATACTTAAAATAGCATATCAAATGTTTACAATATGGAACAAAGTAAACACTTTGCTCAAAAGTAGAAAGCTTTGAACTTTGCAGTCGGGCATTCCACTGCCCGGGTCAGGCAAGTCGGCGATTGAATGCATGTGATTAATTGTAACCAGATGGCTCTCGCTGGACTATACAGACGACACACTATACAAAGATCTATTGAAAAAACAATTTACTTACATTTGATTATCACGTTATCAAGTATCCGTCACAATTTCAAAATATTACAAATTTAATAATACAAACTCAAGATTTATATTTTTCCTGTTGTAACATCCTTAAAAAATAAAAGATGTATTAGCAATGTGAATTTTAGAAGTAATCTCCATAATCTTCATACCTCGCTCCATGTTTAATATGAAACGATAATCAATTTTTTATTCCTAATAATCTGAAGTTATATGAGCAAACAGTTGCTGCAACAGACCGACGTGGATGACGGCAGACAGTACCGGCGGTACATACGCCTTAGGGGCAGTCAGTTGATCAGGCAGTGGCTTAAGTAACATGTCAGGATGAGACATGATATCACCTATGTTTTTTGCTTGGCCGCATCTTCCCTCTTGGCCTTGGTGAAAGACTCAATGAGCTTAGAAAAGCGCAACGACTTTCCTCAGTGCAGGTAACATATTTACATTGCCTACAGGGTACATTGAGTCGCCGGAAACTATAAAGCGGCCACACTTATGACACGCCGACGGAGAGGGAGATGACGCCATCATTGAAGAGTCACACGAAACACCAACACCCACTGAAGACTCACGTATCATAAACAGCCAACAAGACTACTATTAGTTTTAGCAAACGAAAGTAACTATTTACTGAAACAGACTAGAATAGTGTGACTATAACTAAGTGCTAGAGGAGAACACCACATCGGACTTTGTTGACGCCAGCACACACAGGAAAGAAGCGAGGATATTCCCGCCTTTACACACGATTGAGCTGTAGGCCATTGGTGCTATTACGGACACAATTAATTAGTGTATTGTTGACATAGACTTATGTTGAGAATTTGAAAGTTAAGTTTAGTGTGATTGCATCCAAAATACAGGATTTATGCCAATGGATTAATAGAGGTAGGATTCGTAAATTATATTAGTTTCATTTAAACACGCTTCAAAATACAATTGTTAGATTTCAGTATTGTGAAAATAGCAACAGCCTTACAGTTACATTAAGGAAAAAAGGATATCATTAATATTATGTTTCAAAGGAAATGTTTATCGTCATGCAATGTTGGTTAACGATGACTGTCATGATTGTTTTGTTTACACAACACAATGAAATGAAACACAATGAATGAAGTTTTTTTTCTAAATCGTGACTCTTAAGGTAACCTATTGAAGGTCTCAGTCCTCTGATGGGCGATCGTTATGTACGCACTAATCAGCTGTGCATATTAGGAGTTGTAGGGTCAACTGTAGCATTCAAACGAATGGTTATATATTTTAGCTAAATCCTAAGGTTGCGATCTTCAAATTTCACAAACATTACAATAACTGTGGTGCTAGGATTATTTTGTGCATTTGGGACCACACAGGCAGATACGTGTGGGTCTGTGTGTTGATTTGTCACTGAATTGGAGTCGACAGAAATCAAAAAGAAATTTCAAAAGAACAAACTTACTTTGGGGCAGTTTAGTAAATGTTCCAAATTCTCTTATCAAACACAGTACATTTTCATACTTCGTTGGCTTGAACTGTAGGTTGTATACATCTTCATTGCCTCTTGTTTTGGAACTCTGACATTGAACTGATAAACTATCAATGCTTCTCTTGATTGATGGATATATTTCCAACATCTCCACAGCATCAGCTTCCTGCTTAGCTTGTGCAAAATATGTGTCTGTAGACTCAATCATAGCCAGAGTTTGTTCATGAGATGCCATCGTCTTGTTGATAACCGAAGACAGACTGCTACTGTTTCGCTGTACATTTTCAATCAGTTCATGTTTACGTTTGTCCAAACTCTGTTTCAGGTCATCAAATATTCTGTTGATATCCAAAATAGACCTTGCCTTAGCTTCTTCAATACATTTTAGCTCTTGAGTTCCATCTTTCCTTTCCTCTCTCAGACGATTTACATGAGCATGAACCTGCTTAATCTTTGTGTCTAATTCTTCTTTCCTTGTTGCGGCAGCTTCCTCTAGTTTTTGTAGCTCATGATCCCTGTGGTCTAACACTATACAGAAAACACAACATAGTTTCTCCTCTGTTGCACAGTAGAACTCGAGATGATGTTTGGGATGGTTGGGGCAAAAATGACGTTTTCCAAAACTTTGTATTGGTTGTTTCAAAACATCATTTAAAGAAAGTATCGAGTGGTCTCTGCTAACCCGGTGACGTCTGTGAACAAAGTCACATTCCTTACACAGATAGCTCTGACACTCTTCACATCGTGACACTGCCGCTGTCTTCTCTAGACACTCACTGCAGAGGACCTTCTTATCGTGCTTGATTTGCAGGAACTCCACCAGTTTGTCTCTGAGACTATCCACTTCTAGTGTTTCAGCATTTCCGGTTACTTTTTCAACCGTACGACAAAGAGGACATGTGATTTTGCCTCTTCCCTCCTTTTTTAGAAGCTGCTGTAGACACTGTGTACAGAAGGCATGGAAGCAGGAGTGGAGGAGACGAGGACGACGGTCTGTCTGGTTGAAATGTTCCCCACACACTGGACACTCCAGGAATGTGTCTTTCAAGCTACCTACGTCAACTTTATCTTGTGGTTCGGACATTCTGCACAGGAACTGCACCTAGAGGAATAAGCAAAGAAATTATATGAAATGAAATGAAATGACATGCTTATGAAACATTTGGATAAGTATTTCTTTCTATAGAATGCCATCAGGTGATGAAAAGTGCAGAACTTGAATTCTAATAATAGCGTAGATGACCACAGATAGTTTTCTTATTTTTTCTGAATATATTTGATGATCAGTGTGTGAGCCCATCCCATGATACCACTCATAGATGAAAACAAGCCTCGCTTTCACACAGGTTATTAATAGATTCAATGCTAAAAGGACCATAGTGACGTCACAACCATTGCCACAAAAAGTGACAAATCCTGGCTGTACACCTACCTCATTGGAATTTTCTTTTAAAATCCTATACAAATATATTATGCTTTCATACAGTGTCCATGTCCACTTATGTCTATTTATCAAAATCATCCCAAATTAAACCCATCGATACTCTGTGTAAGTTGAAGACATGTTTGTTGAAGTCACGCGATCTTAAAATACTCTCTCACAGGGTAAAAGTCATTCAATAAAAGAATGTGTTCCATCTGTCTTAGGGGCGGAGGGGTAGCCGAGAGGTTAAAGCATTGACTGGTCACGCCCAAGACCCGGGTTCGATTCCCCACACGGGTACAATGTGTGAAGCCCATATTCAGGTGTCCCCCGCTAAAAGCGGCATAAAACCATACTCACTCACTCCATCTGTCTTAGGGGGAGAATGGGTCGATTGCTATGTTTCATGCAAGCATTGATCACCAAGCTTTCTAAATCCACTTTAAAATAGCAGGAGCTACAACTGTAAACATGTTTATAATTGAATGAAAGACAGTCCCCAGTTTCCTTCTCGAAGTGACCAAGAAGTCCCACCAAGAATGTCCAGAAATATAAATAAATCTGACAATTTACTGATCGCATCAAAATTCACTGACAGATATATTACTTAAGGGCAGTTTAACACTGTTTGTTTAAATTTGTTTTGACAGATTTGTCATTGAAGGTCTAATTTGTGTGTCAGGGGTCTGAAATGATTGTTTACAGAAGATATCCATAAACGCAAAAACAGATTGAAGCCAGTTCTTAAATGATCTGAAAATGTGTTGTACCATGACTAATGATTTAAGGTCATCTCTGCACCCTGTAAGCTCCTAACCAACTTGTACACAGGATGGGAGATGTAGTCTAAACAGTCTCATGTCAGAATGGCCTGAAAACTAAATAATCAAGACCCCCTCGAAAAGTAAAAATAGCCACAAAACCGTCGTCAAAATAGCCACAAAGAAAAGTCCTAACGGCCATAAACAAAAAGGTCCGAACAGCCACTTTAAATAACTCAGAATGGCCACGGCATTACTGCATTTTCAGGGGATATTATATATCTACAAAAGCATTATTAAATCCATCAGATATGTGTTTTCAATCACGTATAGCTTATGACAATAACATATTTTAATCCACTTTAAGGATTTGCACACAGAACAGAGATCTAGGTTATGAGCTTGTTCTCTTAAACAATAAGACAGATATAACAAGCCCACCTTAAACAATAAGACGGATATAACAAGCCTACTTTGAATCTGAATATATTAAATGGAAGAGTGGGTCGTGATGCCGGTACAGGTGATTTTACCTATATCAGTTCCACAGGAACAAGTGTGATTGACTATATTATTGCTTCCAGCAACCTGTTTTCGTTGTGTGATAGCTTTAATATTGTCTCGAGAGGGGAATCCCCCCACTTACCGGTCTCATGTTCATTTCAATCACGTGTTCAGTCGGCAGCACACGCAGAGAGGCAAGAAGCACGGGCTGGTGCAAGTGCCAGTTATAAATATATGTGGGACACTGACAAGCTGTCTGATTTTAGGGACAACCTTATGACACCAGGTATTTTAAATATGTTAATGTCATGCTCTGACGTAGCTATGACTGATATTGATGCAGCTATAGACAAACTTACCACAGCTATATGCTCCGCAGCTGACTGTATGAAAAGGGATCTGGCCATAAAACCGAAGTCACAACCTTGGTATGATAAGGAATGTGTTTACTCCAGGATGGAAAGAGATAGACTTTTGAAAGTATTCAGAAAACTCAGGGACAATATATCTCTTCAGAACTTTATTACAGCCCGTAATCTGTACACAACTATTCTTAGGAACAAAAAGAGACTTTATGCTGAGAAGATTAGAGTTAAATTATTGTCACATATTAATAATGCTAAAGATTTTTGGAGAATATTGAGAGATTGTTTATCATCTAGTAATAATATATCACCTACATCTTCAATTATGTGGTATGAGCATTTTAATGATTTGTTTAATAGTTCTGTTTATTCGACAGACTCACATGAAGATGCTGGTGAAGTTGACAATGAGTGTTTTGATGACGTTGTTAAACCATGTGGAAATACCTTAACTGATGATGTCTCTAAGAATATTTTAGATTCACCTATCTCCCGAGAGGAAATATTAAAAGCAATTTCACAGCTTAAATGTTCAAAGTCTGCAGGGTTGGATCATATAATACCAGAGTTCTTTGTGGCTGCTCAGGATATTTTAGTACCATATATTGAACTTGTCTTTAATATTATTTTTGACTCAGGTAGCTTTCCACAATCTTGGTGTACTGGCATAATAATTCCATTACATAAGAAAGGTGATACCTCCCTACCCAATAATTATAGAGGAATAACTTTATTTAGTGTATTTAGTAAACTTTATACTTCAATTTTAAATAACAGGCTATCCTTTTGGTCCAGTGCATATGATAAAATTGTGGAATCCCAAGCTGGTTTTCGGAAAGAATACAGTACAATAGACAACATTTATATTTTACAAGCAGTCATTCAGCGTTATTTAGCAAAAAAGCATGGCAAAATTTATGCATTATTTGTAGATTTTAAAAAGGCTTTTGACCTTGTTGATCGGTCTAAATTGTGGTCTGTATTAATGCAGCAGGGTGTATCCACCAAGTTTTTACTTTCTTTAAAGTCTATATATAAGTGTGTTAAGGCTAGTGTAAGGTCAAATAATATTTTCTCTGAAGAATTTCATTGTCCTCTTGGCTTAAGGCAGGGATGCGTCTTAAGTCCATTATTATTTTCTATGCTTATAAATGAGTTGGCAAAGGATATAGAATTTTCTTGTTCAACAGGCATACAGCTTCATCCTGAACTTATTCAACTATTTTTGTTATTATTTGCAGATGATGTTGTTTTGCTTTCTGACACTGTATATGGTCTTCAGAAACGTATTGATACGTTAAAATATTTTTGTGATACCTACCATTTGTGTGTTAATCTGGAAAAAACTAAAGTCATTTTTTTAAAAAAGGTGGTGTTTTATCAAAGTATGAGAAATGGAACTTTGATGGCTTCAGTCTTGAGTGTGTAACCTCGTACAAATATTTAGGTTTATCTTTTACAAGAACTTTTTCATGGGGTAAACATGTTAAGGTTGCAGCACTACAAGCTAAGAAAGTACTATGTGGCATACTGAAATCTCTGTCCAACTTTAAGCCCATACCCTTTGATTTATTTTTTAAAATATTTGATACCAAAATTAGCCCAATTTTGCTATGTAGAGCGGAAATATGGGGTCTGAGTCCTGAAATTTGTAATTATATTGAAAGTATTCACATGATGGCTTATAAGCACTTTTTAGGTGTTAAGGTCTCCACCTCAAATCACATTATAAGAGGTGGATGTGGCCGATATCCTCTATACATTTATGCTTATAAAAGAGTTGTTAAATATTGGTGCAAAATTTTGAAAATGCCAGAATCTAGATATGTAAAGAAATGCTATAATATGCAACTGCAAGCTGTAAGTAATGGTAAGGTAAACTGGGTTTCCAAAATTAGACACATAATTGTGTCAGCAGGATTTGGTTTTATATGGGATCAACAGTGTGTTGCAAATATACCTTTGTTCATAAAGGATTTTTTTGTGAGGCTAAAATTATCGTACCATCAAGACTGGCATTCAGCTATACGTGAAAGTTCGAAATCATATTATTATTCTTTGTATAAGCAAACATTTGGTGTTGAAATGTATATTACAAGGCTATCATGTGATAAATTTAGAAGTATTATGGCACGTTTCAGATGTAGTTCTCATCATCTAAGAATTGAATCAGGTAGACATAATAAGGAACCTAGAGAAGAAAGAGTTTGTACTGTTTGTAAACATGGTTATATCGAAGATGAGTATCATTTTAATTTGTGATTGTTATCAAGCTTTGAGGTCAGAATATATATCCTTGCATTATAATGAGTTCCCGACAAGACATAAGTACAATATTTTAATGTCATCCACTAACCCATTTACTGTTAAGAAACTAGCCATGTATATTCTAAAAGCTATGAATCTAAGGCAAAGTCTGTTGGGATCTCCAACTCCCATTACCACACTGTAACCATTGTATCATGGGCCTATGGCCTACAATACATCTGAATAAAGTGTATATACATGTAAGAAGCCTACCTTAAACAGTAAGACAGATATAACAAGCCCACCTTAAAAAATAAGGTGGATATAACAAGCCTACCTTAAAGGGGCACTGATCTAACGCAATTCCCGGACTGGTTGTTGCCTTTGTTATTATTTTTTCCCCCGTGAGTACCCGGATGATACGCAACGCAACTGAGCGTGACCAGAGACTGGGCTACGGTCTGCAAGGACAGTTAAATAAACTTGGAGGCTGGAGGCAATATTTGTTTTACGCATTTTTGCATAAACACTGATTGGTTAACTGTGATCTATAAAGATTTCGACAAAGGGCGCATGCTAATTAATTTCTTCAGCCTAAACAAACAGACAAAAAGAACGGCGGAGCTCATCGGATGTCGTCATTTGGAAATACCCGAGATGGTTATAGTTTAATACTAAAAAAAGTATCCATGCAGTGAAAGCATGTTCGGATTTCGGATTGCGTCGATAATACGATTAGTACTCCCTTGTTGTCATCCACGTTTTCTCGAATAACCCTACACTTGTGTACATGTATTTGTCG